ATATGATTAAACACTAATACAAAGTAAACAGTGTACCAGTCACTTCTATAAATTGAATAGCTGAAAATTGCGCACAAATGAATATACCTATTCCCTTTGAAACGACATACTGAAAATTTTTAACCCTTTCCGGACCGCCTGACACCCATGGGGTGTCAGGGACTATTTTTCCGAGGATACGGTTTTTCGACAAAATCTTTTATGTTGTTACATATCTATGTAACATACTCATGTCGTACGTATGAAAAAACCTAGACTTCAACCTCAAACTAGTTCCTAAAATAACTAAATACTAAATGGATGTCCACTTTGAGCTCAGAGAAAACAGTTATAAATCATTTGAAAACACTTCATACAACAGAATTATGACACTCGTGCATGTCGTATCTGATGCTATTAAATCCAAACGTTTCGGACACTTTCTGGTCCCTTTTTCCCCATTACAACTTATTTTGAACAATTTTCATTCCTGCCTCCTTTTTATGGCCCTATCACTTTTATTACACACGGTTTTCTGTCATATTCACTACATATATACTCTTAGACATGACAAATACAAAAACGAGACAAAATAATGGCTTTAATGGGAATACAGATTAAATATATGATATTTATGCGCGCCGCGCAGCACGCGGCGATGAGCATAAAAAGGCGCGGTCCGGAAAGGGTTAAAGTACTCTTGTCCGGTGTAAGCAGTCCTCTGTAAGGGCAGTAGAGAGCGGCATTTGGATGGGCAGGGGAAGATGGACGATGAAGCCGAGGAAATTAGAAATCAGACGCGCGAAATACAACAGAAATGGAGCCAAAGAAAAACTGAAGACAAATTTTATTGTATCCAAAGCACTCTATGCATTTTGGCCATTCGTAACGTTCTTTTTTTCTGCTGAAGACAGACTGGGGAAGTGGGAATTTTCGCGACAAATCACCACACCATCGTTTGCTCATTCATAATGAACTCCATCGGTAGCTTTTTTTTCAAATCCTGGCATGAATGTTCATCAGAAACTAAAGAATTGCAATATACGAAACCGTGGAACTCAAATTCTCAACTGCCACACGTTGCTAATTTTCAAGTGAAGTTTCTCTACTTTAACTACTGAAAACCTCTTACTTTGGATGGATAATTGCAAGTACAGCGGTGACGCTATTCTCATATTGGAATACTAACGAACACCTGAACGTTTCACAAAACGGATGCAGTAAGAAAAATTACTCTTAGGAAGCAATGGGTTCCACATGCGCAATTGCGTTGCTATTATTTGCGCTGGAAAATTCCGAAAAAATACACATGATTTCGGTGCTTTTGTCGTGAAGACCATAAATACGATGAGTAAGTGAATATATATGTGCATTAAGTGCACATGTTAAAGTCTTGAAGCTATTGCGCTTTTCGGTTTTCTTTTTACGAAGTCGGCCCGGCTCAGGGTGAGTTGCCGTGAGAATTCTTCGAACAGGGAGTCTTATGAGGCGTCAAGGAAGGAAGTCCTTATGGGTGAAATTGGCAGTTTCTTTGAGGATGTGAACAGTAGTGAGATAGGAAATTGAGGATAGATGAACCGGGTTACGTTGAACAGACAGATTTATTGTGGAAAATTCAACCTTTCTATATCGTAATCTAATCGGGTACACTCTAATAACAGGGTTTGGAGGGTATTCGTTGGATTCGTTGGATGATCATTCGGACTGAAAAAATATATTTGCTGCATTTTTGAATACATGCAGGGCATTCAAGTATGCTTCATGTGGATTATTCTCATACCACGTCAGAAATTCTAATGGCAGACTAGATATACCTATGAAATTTTTTAGAAAAGTGAAATCGGAATTCATGAATGAAAGCGTTTTTAGAAAACTAAGATTTGTTGGATACGGTTTTTTTTGATGGAACTAAAAAGTATCCCATCTTTGTGAATGGATTGAATGATACTTCTCTTAAATCTAATGTGGCTCTCGTTACTCCCTCTGTTGTGCTTTTCAAGCGCCTGGCTAGTAAAGATTTGTTGAGCTATGACTAGGTTATATTCAAGGGAAGATCGTTGTATTGTTTCCTACGACTGCCTTATGTGTCGTCTAATAAATAAATAAATAAAATAAATAAATAAATAAATAAATGGTATAATAATATGAGCAGTAAGTTTCATTCATACCAGGATCCCTCCCTACCTTCCGTCATTCTCCAGTCCATTTTCTCTTGTTGAACAGAGCAGAAGGCCGTGCACGCTCGTTCCAGGGATCAAATCACAGATCAACTCACCTAGCCTAGCAAATCGAGCCTTTCATCCGTACAGAGTTGGTTGGCTGGGCTTTACTTTCTTGGAGAAAAAGCACTGTTGCGTACATACATCGGCTGGCTCTTACATTATTATAGGGCAGACCACACTCGCAATTCATTTAGGATCTGAGAACGAATGGGGCCTAAGTCCACAGATGCGCTATCTACACCGTATGCTACTCATTATCATTAACTCCATTTGTCAACTCCGAATCTCCGCTCATTTTGAGCAGGAACGTGTGCTTCAGTTCACATAAAGGAGTCGTCCTGGCATCGGGATTGGCGACGTCAAGGCATTAACGACGAGGTGACTCGTTTTGTTATCACCCGACATGACATGACAAATCCATGGCGTTTAACATTTGTTTGCCGAAGGCTAATCCCTCTTGAGTCCCACGCAGCAAAGTGCTTCTTCTCGCCGCCGCCGTCTTCTTCTCCTCTTCCTCGTCCTTTTCCAGGCTACTGCTCCTGCCGCTCCATCAGTCCACACACTACATCGTGGGAAATGCGACCCTCGCAATCTCTTGCTCATAATAGCTAACTGGTCTCATTCAGCGAAGTCAAATCAGAGCGTGGGATAGAATCTTGTGGCGGAATTCTCAGCCACTAGACACATATCTGAAATAATAGAACCGATTGCGCCGGACGGACGGATGTTAGCTACTGGTGAAGCCCTAACTGACAATCAAAGTGCGCTTGGTCCAAGGCCAAGTTGGACAACTACCCATGGTAGCGATTCGCTGTTCAGAGGGAAACTGCTCGATGCCACTCAGGAGATGGTTTCTTATTTTTTTGCAGTTGGCCTAGACGATTAGAAATTATCAGAATTAAATGCAAAAACTGCTTTTCTGCCAGAATAGAAGCATATTTTCGAGTTAAGGGTTCCTGCTCCTTTTTCCTTCCCCCCCCCCCGACTTGTTTGGGTGTGGTTTTGAGGAGAAGCGCTAATTATTGAAACACTATTTTTCATAATTTACACTTCATTCCTGGCTCCCATGCCAGCTGCAAACTAAATGAAGTCATCTATTAGAGCAACGCTTTTCCAGTCGGATCATGTTCTACGCAAGCAGTACTGCAAAAAAAACTAAGCTGAAAATCGGCTTCAAGCAAAAAATTCAAGCCCGTATGTCAGGGAATGAGCGACGCAATTATTTGGGCTCGTATAAGGCTATTATAGCGGTTCCGCACACCGAAACTTTTACTTACTTTCCAATCTTTGTAATCGTGATGGTTTATCATCTAGGTGAAAACCCATGCTCAATAAACACAGAAAAAAAGAAGATAAAAACAACGAAAATAATATACACGATGAGGTAAAATTTAAAAACAACATGAGTTGCAATCTCTAACAACATGAGTGAAGAAAAACATAAACCGAGAATGCTAAGTTAATAGATAACTTATAGGCCGTCTCAAAAGACTGACTGTCGGTAGAAACTCCTACATTTAGTATTGGGTCAAACTCCAAGCAGAACATGTTAATCAAGGAATGGTGTCTGACACTGCGTCTACTCTTCTAACAAGAAGTTTCCTAGAGCTGTCAATCGTGAACGACTTCTCACCTTTTTGGAAACTAGTGCTTAAACTTAAGAAATAGTCAAAGCAAACATGGTATCGAAGTATTGTGGTCAATCATAGTAATTAATCTTGGCCAGCTTTCAGGATAGAAGAATACCATCTTGGAACTCAAAGCTATTGAGAAACTTTCGTATCTCTGTTTGCTCCTACGCAGTGGGCAATTCCGCCTTAGCCCATGAATAACTACAGTTTCTAAACTACCCCAAAAGATTGAGCCGATTAGGGGAGATATATAATCTTCGTAAATTTCGTGAAAATTATTTAAAATACTCTCGACTTTCCTCAAGAAAATCGTCAATTTCCT